TGTGTGTCTCTGTGTATGTCTGTATGCATGTTTGTGTGTGTTTCTATGTCATTGTACGTGTCTGTGTGCTAATGTGCCTTTTTGTGTGTTTCTGTGTGGGTTTCTCTGTGTGTGCTTGTATGTGTCTGCATGTCTTTTTGTGCCTGTGTGTGTTTGTGTGTGTGTCTCTGTGTATGTCTGCATGCATATTTGTGTGTGTTTTTGTCTGTGTACGTGTCTGTGTGTTATTGTATCTTTTTGGGTGCTTCTGTGTGGGTTTCTCTGTGTGTTCTTGTGTGTGTGTGCGTGTCTTTGTGTGTGTTTGTGTGTGTGTCTTTGTGTGGCTATGTGTCTTGTGTGTGTCTCTGTGTATGTCTGTATGCATGCTTGTGTGTGTTTGTGTATCTGTGTAAGTGTCTGGGTGTTATTGTGTCTTTTTGTGTGTTTCTGTGTGGGTTTCTCTGTGTGTGCTTGTGTGTGTCTGTGTGTCTTTGTGTGTGTTTGTATGTGTGTCTTTGTTTGTCTGTGTGTGTGTCTTTGTGTGTGTTTGTATGTGTGTCTTTGTGTGTGTCTCTGTGTATGTATGTATGCATGTTTGTGTGTTTGTGTGTCTGTGTATGTGTCTGTGTGTTATTGTGTCTTTATGTGTGTTTCTGTGTGGGTTTCCCTGTGTGTGCTTGTGTGTGTCTGTGTGTCTTTGGGTGTGTTTGTGTGTGTCTTTGTGTCTGTGAGTGTCTTTGTGTTTCTGTGTGTTACTGTGTGTCTGTGTGTGTGTCTCTGTGTATGTCTGTGTGCATGTTTGTGTGTGTTTGTGTGTCTGTGTACATGTCTGTGTGTTATTTTGTCTTTTTGTGTGTTTCTGTGTGGGTTTCTCTGTGTGTGCGTGTGTGTCTGTGTGTCTTTGGGTGTCTTTGTGTGTGTTTCTGTGTATTTCTGTATGCATGTGTGTGTGTTTGTGTGTCTGTATACGTGTCTGGGTGTTATTGTGTCTTTTTGTGGGTTTCTGTGTGGGTTTCTCTGTGTGTGCTTCTGTGTGTCTGCGAGTCTTTTGTGTGTGTTTGTGTGTGTGTGTCTTTGTGTCTTTGTGTGTGTCTCTGTGTATGATTGTATGCATATTTGTGTGTGTTTGTGTGTCTGTGTACATGTCTGTGTGTTATTTTGTCTTTTGTGTGTTTCTGTGTGTTTCTGTGTGTGCTTGTGTGTGTCTGTGTGTCTTTGGGTGTGTTCGTGTGTGTGTCTTTGTGTGGCTGTGTGTGTCTTTGTGTTTGTGTGTTACTGTGTGTCTGTGTGTGTGTGTTTGTGTGTGTCTCTGTGTATGTCTGTATGCATGTTTGTGTGTTTGTGTGTCTGTGTACATGCCTGTGTGTTATTTTGTCTTTTGTGTGTTTCTGTGTGTATTTCTCTGTGTGTGCTTGTGTGTGTCTGTGTGTCTTTGGGTGTGTTCGTGTGTGTGTGTCTTTGTGTGTCTGTGTGTGTCTTTGTGTTTGTGTGTCTTACTGTGTTTCTGTGTTTGTGTGTGACTCTGTGTATCTCTGTATGCATGTTTGTGTGTTTGTGTGTCTGTGTACGTGTCTGTGTGTTATTGTGTCTTTTTGTGTGTTTCTGTGTGGGTTTCTCTGTGTGTTCTTGTGTGTGTGTGCGTGTCTTTGTGTGTTTTTGTGTGTGTGTCTTTGTGTGGCTGTGTGTGTCTTTGTGTTTGTGTGTCTTACTGTGTGTCTGTGTGTGTCTTTGTGTGTGTCTCTGTGTATGTATGTATGCATGTTTTTGTGTGTTTGTGTGTCTGTGTACGTGTCTGTGTGTTATTGTATCTTTTTGGGTGTTTGTGTGGGTTTCTCTGTGTGTGCTTGTGTGTGTCTGTGTGTCTTTGGGTGTGTTTGTGTGTGTGTCTTTGTGTGGCTGTGTGTGTCTTTGTGTTTGTGTGTGTTACTGTGTGTCTGTGTGTGTGTCTCTGTGTATGTCTGTGTGCATGTTTGTGTGTGTTTGTGTGTCTGTGTACATGTCTGTGTGTTATTTTGTCTTTTTGTGGTTTACTGTGTGGGTTTCTCTGTGTGTGCGTGTGTGTCTGTGTGTCTTTGGGTGTCTTTGTGTGTGTTTCTGTGTATTTCTGTATGCATGTGTGTGTGTTTGTGTGTCTGTATACGTGTCTGGGTGTTATTGTGTCTTTTTGTGGGTTTCTGTGTGGGTTTCTCTGTGTGTTCTTGTGTGTGCGTGTCTTTGTGTGTGTTTGTGTGTGTCTTTGTGTGTCTGTATTTGTGTGTATGTCTGTGTGTGTCTGTGTGTTTTGTGTGTTTCTGTGTGTGTCTTTGTGTGTTCGTGTGTGTGTTTGTTTGTATGTGTATCTGTATGTATTTGTGTGTGTGTCTGTGTGTCTTTGGGTGTGTTTGTGTGTGTCTTTGTGTGTCTGTGTGTTTGTGTGTGTTACTGTGTGTCTCTGTGTATGTGTCTCTGTATGTATGTATGCATGTTTGTGTGTGTTTGTGTGTCTGTGTACATGTCTGTGTGTTATTTTGTCTTTTTGTGTGTTACTGTGTGGGTTTCTCTGTGTGTGCGTGTGTGTCTGTGTGTCTTTGGGTGTCTTTGTGTGTGTTTCTGTGTATTTCTGTATGCATGTGTGTGTGTTTGTGTGTCTGTATACGTGTCTGGGTGTTATTGTGTCTTTTTGTGGGTTTCTGTGTGGGTTTCTCTGTGTGTTCTTGTGTGTGTGTGTCTTTGTGTGTGTTTGTGTGTGTGTCTTTGTGTGTCTGTTTGTATTTGTGTGTAAATCTGTGTGTGTCTGTGTGTTTTGTGTGTTTCTGTGTGTGTCTTTGTGTGTTCGTGTGTGTGTGTATGTGTGTTTGTATGTATTTGTGTGTGCATCTGTGTCTGTGTGTTTTTGTGTGTGTGTCTTTGTGTGTCTTTGTGTTTGTGTGTGTTACTCTGTGTCTGTGTGTTTGCCCCTGTGTATGTCTGTATGTATGTTTGTGTTTTTGTGTGTGTCTGTGTAGGTGTCTATGTGTTATTGTGTCTTTTTGTGGGTTTCTGTGTGGATTTCTCTGTGTGTGCTTGTGTGTCTGTGTGTGTTTTTGTGTATACGTCTGTGTGTGTCTGTGTGTGTCTGTGTGTGTCTGTGTGTATTTTTGTGTACGTCTGTGTGTGTCTGTGGGTTTTTTGTGTTTCTGTGTGTATCTTTGTGTGTTCTTGTGTTGTGTTTGTGTGTGTGTCTGTATGTATTTGCGTGTGTGTCTGTGTGTCTATGTGTTTTTGTATGTTTTGTGTGTGTCTGTGTGTTTTGTGTGTTTCTCTGTGTGTCTTTGTGTTCTTGTGTGTGTGTGTGTTTGTGTGTGTGTGTGTGTGTGTGTTCATGGGGAGGGGAGAGAACTTACTCCTATAAATACATGGAGGTAAAGTCATCAGGAAACATAGCAGACATCCAGCTTTTAAATAAGCTACATAGGGCAGCTGAAGGACCCCGGCTGTAAGTATATGTGATGCTTCGTTCTTAAGCTAACTGACCTCATTTGAAGACTCTTGTATTAAAGACAACAAACATCAAAGGAAGTCTTGCTAACTCCTTGTCATCCTAACCAGAGAGTTTCCTCTGAAGTTCAGATTTGTTCCATGGCCTAGGAGGGATTTCATTGCAAGTCTGAGAGCAAAGTAATATTTCTGTGGCTGAAGCAAAAACAAAACAGCTCAAGCTAACAGGCACATCTTATTTCCAAGAATGTGTTCACTTTCCTCCTACCTTCCTCTGCCACTCACAACGCTGCTTTGTTTGAAGGACAGTCAATGCCAAACTAAACCAAAAGCCCACATGGAAATTAATATTCCTGTGGCCACAACACCTTGTACCAATGCCTCCTGCCTCACTACACCCGCTTTCTCCTTGCCGTGCCACTAAACCCAGAAGTTCAGTTTAGTTCAAATCTAGGCTGGGGTCTGGATCCCAAACTAAAATAGTTAATCCCATCTAAAGCAGCTTAATATATGCTTCTTTAAGCCACAAGATAAAGTACTTCAAGTACTGTTGACTACAGTACTGGGCACCATGTGCCAAGCACTGCTGCTAAGCCCTTGATACCTGCTAGCTCCTAGCTATATCACAAACCTCCCATTATGACCTCAAACCTACTTCTCTCAGTTTACAGATTAAAATCCAGGTTCAACGAGATTGGGTAACTTGCCCAAGACTAAGCCCCGCATACCTCTGCTTCCTTCATCAGACACAGTGTACTCTCTGAAATGACACATGACTAATATAAAAACAAACAGCTATCTTGACTCGGAGCCAAGACTGTTCCTGTTCAGACTTTGAATCACAAATAGGTGCTCGGCAGAGCCCCTGGAGGGCCTGCTGTCTCTAGTTCTACCTTGCTCTTGGAGAGGGGGAAGGTTCCGTTTTGCCCTTGCTCTAGTCCAATCATTTACACAGAAACACTATCTCCAAATAGTAAGGCAGACTCCAATATTTTTCCTTTTCTAGTTCAGTCTTATTTTCTCCACGTTTTGGGCCACAAGAATATACTTGATGCCAACAAATGTAAGAAAATATTTTCCCTAACTATTTTTGCTACTAGCGCTGCATTCAACATTTAGTAGACATTTGTGTCTCTTTCCTATCAAATTCCTGTAACCTTCAAGATTAGGTTTAAATGGTTTTCTTTGGCAGACATCAGGCATGGGAAACACCATAAACAAGAGGTCACTTTTAAGTCAAACGTCCTCTGTGGCACCCCAATCCCTTACCCCTATTAAACCCTCAAACAAAATCCCAACGCATTTCCCACTGCTGTGCCAACATGAATTGTCTGCTGCACACCCAGCCCAGTAGGATTATCCTTTGAACAACGCTTGCTCCTTATTCCCTGCCAACCTTTGAACACGAAAGCTATTTCCTCTACACAAAGTCTACCTGCACACGCCCCAACTCAGTGACAATGCTCTCCCTCCCACATCCCAGTCCTCTAACATTAGTACTTGTAGTCTGACCACATTCTGCTATTACCTTGGACCGTTAGTCAGTTACTGTGGTACCTACTCACCTACTCTACATCCTGCTGCCTAGATGTCCATATACTAAGGAAGAGCCTGTGGGGCAGGGTCACTGTACCTCCTTTTAAACCTTCTGAGCACCTAGCACATAATGCTTCATTGATGACCTCATCCAGTTTTCAGCCAATCCTTATTTAGCTCACTAAGATCACGGCTGGTCTAGAAGTAACAGCCTATTCCTTACTCAAGGACTGACTAAATTAAATAAAAACTATCTAAATCATTCTAGTACTACATTATCACAAAACAGGGAAATTAATCTGAGCTGCCACATGTCTTCAGGCATTCCTATTCTCTCTCTGAAACCAGTAAAAAGTCAAAGTATATTTTATCTATTATTTTTTTACTTCCTTATACATTTTCTAATATGCCTCCACTTTCCATTGGCCAAACCGAAAGATAAAATGTAAAAGCACTTCCCAGTTATTTTTTAAAATATAATATTGGATGTTATATCATTTTACACAGTATAATTTCATCAACTGATCAACATATGCAGTGTTAAGGCAGCTTATTTTCCTGAATGATTACATCTTTTTATTCCCTATTATGCCTTGCATGTACCCACTATTTCTTCTTTAATTTCCTGTTATATGTCTGTTTTTCTGTTCAATTGTTACTTACTTATTGAGACAGGCTGGCCTGAACTTGCTATATAGACCATGCTGGCTTCAAAGTCATGAATATCTTCCTGCGTCTGTTTTTTGAGTGCTGGGATTAAAGGCATGTACCTCCACACTTGGCCTTACTTATTTTTATGTGTGTGAGTGTTTAGTCTGCATTCATGCACCTCTTTGAGCATTGTTGAAATCACAAGAAGAAGACAAATAACTTTAGCTAATATTCTTTAAGAGAACAAACTGTATTGAATGTTTAGAGGCCTCATATCAATATTGAGATTTCTGGTATTTTTTCTGAAGAGGGTTCCACTATGTAACAGCCTTAGCTATCTGGAAAATTACTCTGTAGACCAAGCTGACCTTGAATTCACATTCACAGGGATCCACCTGCTTCTGCCTCCCGAGTGCTAGAATTAAAGGCATGTGCTAACCACCACACCAGCACACCACCACCACGCTGGCCATAGTAACATTTTTGAGTTGAAAGTGATATTGAACTTTAATAAATTCAACATGTGTTTTGTCTGTATTCTCATCTTTTCTTTCCAACCAAACACAAAGAGAGATGGTTTTGTTTAATTGTATAGTCCAAAGTATCTAGCATAGTATTTTCCACACAAACTAGGTGCTGCAGAAGTGTGTGTGTGTGTGTGTGTGTGTGTGTGTGTGTGTGTGTGTGTGTGTGTGTGTGTTTAACCCCAGATGTTCTGGGTGAGGCACATAATAATCATCCTTGTGCTTCTTAGGAATGCTGTTCCCTCACATAAGCCCTTCCTTTCATGAGGCCTTCTGGAACACCCTCATCTTAGCCTGTGCCAGGCTCTCTGCTGGGAGCTGGAAATATAAAGAAGAGTGCAGATAAGAACCTGGCCCACTAGACCCTCACAGTCTATTAAGGGTCAGACATAAGTCAAGAACAATGGCAACAGCTGTGACGGGTATGCAGTAATTAAGATTGATACAAATTGTGCTGTTGGAGGCAAAAGAAGGAAAGTAAACTCCCTCTGACTGACTGATTTGGGCCTTCTCAGGAGTTAAGGTGTTCAACTGGCCAAGAAAAGAGGGAGGGATTTGTGAAGAAATTTTGTGTGAACAAAATGATGAAAGCGTCAAAGGAAGGCCTCAGAACTCTGTGTGTTGGCAATGAAGAGTAATGAGATGGATGCCCCAAACTAGGCTGAAGACAGATGAGGGCTTGCTTGCAAAGAGGTAGTAAGATGTGTCGGGGCCTGTTGAGGAGCAACTGTTCCATAGGTCAAGACAGAGCCAGAGCCAGAACCAGTGAAGGAGTTATTTTAGGAAGCCAACAACCTAGGAAAAATTATTATGTTGCCTTTACCACCCACCCCATACACAAAGACAGAACAAGAGAGAGACAGAGTTCATGTATTCATTTTTCCTAGTCATGACTTTGGATCTGCTGACACCAACTTATTTATTCAACTTCATTTACTGTTATTCCCCTGAATCATCTTACCAATCAGTCCCCCCGATCTAACAGTGACCCCGCTTATTTCATTTCTTTTGCCTGAGAATAGATTATTTAGATTTACTTAAAGAAGCTTCCAGAAAAGCCTCACTAGGCAGACTTTTTTCCATTAATAATACAGGAAGTTAGTCTTGGTTCTTCAGGCTAGTGTTGGTAAGGGGGGGTTACTTCAGAGTGTTCACAGGGCATGTAAAAAGCCCCACGTTCGATGTCCTACAGTCACAAGCACACACAAAATGCATGGTATTTTTTGTAAACATAATCTTATCATAAATTTGTGACCAAAGAAGTTGCTTGTTTTTTTAAGAAAGAAAGACAGGTGTTGGTGGCACACACCTTTAATCCCAGGACTCGGGAGGCAGAGGCAAATGGATCTCTGTGAGTTCGAGACCAGTCTGGTCTACAGAGTGAGTTCCAGGACAGCCTCCAAAACAATGCAGAGAAACCCTGTATCAGAAAAAAGAAAGAAAGAAAAAGAATGTAAAGTTGGGTGGGTAGGCAGGTGGGAGGATCTGTGAGGAATTGGGGAAGGGAAAACCATGATCATGATGTATTTATTGTTGGAAAAACCCTTAAAGAACAAGAGAAAGGAAGTTAAGTCATTGAGGGGAAGATTTCAAAGTGTGTCTGACCCTGCATCACGCACATGAAAAAGTAACTGTGAATTTGAGGGAACTAAAGAATTATAGGGAAAAATTCCTAGGGAAAAGCTAAAGTCAGTTACATGCATTCCCCCCTTTGGAGTTGGTGGAATTCCTTTTCATTCACTTCTGATGTCATGCTGAGTCACAAAATGTAGTGTTCCTCCAAACACATCTCTGGAAGTCCTTTGTTAGTCATCCCGACACTCAGAGCTTGAGGCCAGTGCCATTCACACTTGCCCTATTCTGCAGCAGACAGCTCCAGCTCCTTTAATCCCCCTAGTTCTCCCCACCCCCCAAAAAACTTTTCTTGAGGAGTAACAACTATAGCTCTGGGGGATAATATAGCTTTAAGACAATTTTTGGCAGATGCAAACATCCCAACATCTGGGCAGTGTTACCAGAATCCCGGAGGCCCTGACAGACCAGGAGCCACTGGTTCTAGGAATGTTAAAGTAGAAGGATTTTTCCCCCGACTGATGAGAGGAGCAGAGAGCAAGGAAAAAGAGGAGAGAGAACGAGACCGCAAAAAATGAAATAAAAAACAAGTAAGTACTGCACTGAATCCCTCACATTGCACTGCCCCATTTCCCAGCTGTGGAGAGGTCAAAAGACCTGGGACATCGATGCTATGGCCGGAGGTGGAGAGGGAAAGAAACTTTGAAATGAAATTGGATCATATGCTGTTTTCATTTGTGCTGGCTGCAGATGTATGCTCCTGCTCTCTTCTCTGCTTCCAGCAGAAGGATGGCTCCCTCCGGTGAGTCAAATTTTTCAGTCTGAGACTGGGCAGGAGGTGGGCAGGAGAGAGATCACAGGCTCTAAGAGTCTGGGGGCTGACACAAGATCACCTCTGTTCCACTACAAAGGAACTGGTTTGGGGCTGAATATGAGAGAAGGGTCAGTGATTGACTCATTTCCCTGAGTCTTTTCTAACTCTTTTTCTCACTTGGTGCCTTAATCCATCTATTTCCTTTCTCTCCTTTAGATTTTCCAACCTTACCAGCTCTCAGCATTTTTTACCTCCACCCTTACTCTCACTTTCCCCTCTCTCCTACTTCATAAGTCTACAGATCTAAAGCCAAGGAACAATGACTTGGAAAATGAATTTTTTGGCTTTATATGATGGCCCTTTAAGGACCCTGTCCAGACACTGCCATTGTTTTTTGCTTCTCCATTTCTGAAACGGACTCCTTCTCTGAGTATGGCACTGCATGGGAAGCATGTGGGTGAATGGATGCTTGTTGAGAGGTCCAGTGACCAGTTTTTATTGATGGGAAGCAAGTATTAGTGCTGCCACTTGGGGAATATTCGTCCAGTAGCACCACAGAATTCTCTCATCTCATTTTCTTAGTGTAAAGATTTCTTCCCAAGAAAGGAAAATGAGATAGCAACAGGAGCGTAGTCACACTCTCCTTGTGGACCTCATCAGGTCTCCTTCTACCTCTCTGCCATCCTGCTAGTTCAGTAGGGCAAAACTGGAGGAGTAGGCTGAACTTGAAAGCCAGAAGTGACTGTCAAACCACTAAGCCTCAAAACCCAAAGCTAAGAAGAGAGCAGAATTATAGTTACTGCCTGGAGGAGAGAGAAAGGAAACACCCTGTCTTGTCCAATATGAAGTTAGTAATAATAGTGGGAAAACACACTGATTGTTTCCTGCTGTAGCAGAAAATAATATACTCCATGAGGTAGGTGCTATTATTCTTGTTTTATATGTGAAGAGACAGGGGCTCAGAGAAGTTGCCTCATTTGCTAATTGGTGACAGAACTGGGTCATATCCAGATCTGCCTCACTCTGAAGCTCAAGGTTTTAGACCATATATGTTAATGCTTCCTCAGATTTGTGGTTAAGAAACCCTGAGTGGAAAAAAATCCCTAAGTAGCAGCTTTTGGATTTCCAGATTCCCTCCTAGTTCTGTGTGACTTATGCTAGCATTTCCATGGTCTTGGAACTTCAATGTCCCTCCCTGTGACTTGGACCATACAATATTCACACAGGATGGCACCAGAGCAAGTTGAGGATTAGTTGCTTAATGCCCTCCTCGTCCTGCTTGGAGAAAGGGGACAATAAATCCAGATAAGTCTTATCACCCTATGAAGTAGGAAAGGTTTATTAGCCAGACAGCTGGAATTGATTAATGTTAAAATTCTCTTCCTAACAGATCCCATATATCTGCTTCTTCTCACTTTTGGGAGCTCATAGCTGGCTCAGTTCTGAAAGTCATTTTCCCTTACCCTGATACTTCTGGGCACATAGTCCTATTCTTGCCTCCTGAAGCTTCCCTGTTAAGGATGGCTGGTCAGCTGATTCACAGAGGCGCTCTCTCACTGTTGCTCTTCCTATCACCAGCAGTGACACCAACATGGTATGCAGGTAAGTTCTGGGAGCTGTTGTGCATTCCTTCTAGGGTGGTCTAGAACTACACCAAGACATAGAAGAGGTTAGAATGAGACCACAGTGAGAGATCCCTGACTTTGACCCAGAGAAAAACTGTTAAGTGGCAATAAAGATGACCAAATAGCAAAATGGGCTACCAATCAAGGCCCATGAGACAGCCTAGCAAGAGTTACTTGATAATAGGCTGTGTTAACACAAAAGTGAAGGAGTGAGACAGTGTGGCCTTTGAGGCTATGTATGCTTCCTATTTTCTTTTCTTCAGTTGCCCTTTTCACTTAACTTCCTGACAACAGTGAGGTTTTTTTAGGTTTGGCTGTGTATTTGCTTGCTTGGTTATATGTTTTGCTTTCTATGCAGGGAGTTGAATGCAGAGTCTCACAAATGCTAGGTGAGTTCTCTACCGCTGAACTCTATCCACAACCCACTGAAAACTTCCAAGACAATTTTAATAAACCAAAGACTTATCAATATTAATTCTTTCCTGAGTCAAATATCCTTGATAAGACAACAAAACAGGAATCAGATTGTGTCTCTCTTTTGCAAAAAAAAGTAAAGGAGGCAGGAAGTCTACCAAGAGAAAACAAGAATCCACCAGACCACCCCCTCTTTTTTCTTTCTTTCTTCCTCCCAGTTTATCTGTAGGATTTGCACAGCCATTTTTATTTCTACAGCCTTTTTTTGGTTGACACAGTCAATGACAGTACAGATCACATTTTCTTAATTAGGAATCCCCCAGTCTCTTCGGGTTTTTCCTTATTTCAGAAAGGATGTCACTTTCTGGAGTCCTGAGTATTTCACTCTGCACCCCTGGGAGACATTGAGCCAACAAGAGTGGTCTGAAGAGGCACAGAATGCAAGAGGGGACAAGGAAAGGATACTGCAGCACCATACCGAGGTTTTGACTGGGTTCCAATGGCATCTCATAGTGCTAAGAATATTCCGTGGCCTGCAGTGTCTGCCCTCAGAGGGCTGGAGAGAGTGGGGGAAGGAGACAGTCACAACCAATGGGGTTAGGAAAATTTCCAGAGATGAGTAAATAGCAAATTGCAACCATCACAGTCACCGCCATTGCAGCTAAAATTTTCCACATACCCCTAGCTCCCAGTAGAGGCCTTTGGCAGCGGCTCTGTTTGTCTGGAACAGCTGTATCCAGCTTTCAAACAAGTATGCAAGCCTCTTCCCCTCTTTGGCTTAACCTGACTTTGTAGGGGGTAAAGCACAAGGGCTGACATTCAGCTGAAGAAATTCAAATCAAGCCCTTGGCAGAGTGTACACTGTTTGGGGTTAAAAGAGCCCCAAGTCTTCAGGAGATAAATATGCAGCTGTTCTTCCCAAACACCCACTGGCTTTAATTCAAGTTAAAGAAGACCAGAATCTACTCAAAAGACCACAGAACTAAGGGAGTGGAGATCTGATGGTTCAAAGCCCAAGTCTGAACACCTGTATGAAACTCACTAAAGCCTGAGATGTGAAAGTTTTTCAGACAAGGCATTAAAAATACCTAACTTCATGTAAGGTTCTCAGAAGGCTGTTTGCAAATCAGACACTCCCCACTTCTACACCAATCACCACAGTCAATACTGCTTGCCAGGAACCCAGGCTGCTAAGGTGACTGGCAGTCCTATGAGTCTCCTTAGAATGCTGCATGATGGTAGATTCTTGGAGATTTAATTGCTCTTCCCTTCAGTGCTGGATCAAACACCGAGTTTGTGTCCATTTGCCCATTCATTCATTCATTCATTCATTCATTCATTCAACAAATGTATGTTGAACATTGCCTATACTCCCAAGGACTGTTTTTGTTCCCTTGTTTGGCTTTGTTCTCAAATGAAAAGGGCACAAAGCAGCCAAGTGTGGACTAAGGGTGAGTGAGAAAATAAACCCAGGAATAATCAACAGAGAGTGGAAAATATTAGAAAATTACATGACGCTGGGTGGGTTAAAAATGTATACTGCAGTATCTGTATGTTTCATGGAGTCAGGCTGTATTTGTCATCAAAGGGCAAGCATTAATGTCGATCTTAACATTATCTTCAATTATCTTTCCAACCATACATGAAAGGCTGGACTTAGAGGGTCCCACTTGACTGTGGAATTTGGAGGAACCCAGTAACAGACCACACAGTGAGGAACCACTGACTGATGCAAAGGAAATGAGAAATGTCCAAGGAAATGGAATGATTACAGAGGTTGTATCCTTCTGTAAACCTTCATTCTTATAGCCCACTTCAGTATCGCAACATGTGCATAAAATATGTGAAAGTAGGCAACTAGGAGCCATGGGAAAGTTTAAGCAGTTAACTAGCCCAAGCCCATTCCTGGCACAAAGGAAACGTAGCACTAGCTTAGCTACCTCGGCACGCTGGTGGAGACTATAATTATGTGATTGAGTCTTACCCTCAGTTCTCCCACATCTCCCGTAATTCTTGAATGATATAAAGTGCATGGTGGTCTATGGTCTCCCTCACCCCACCCCATTGCCACAGTAAAAAAGTTCTAGATTGCAAGACAGATTTTAGTTCATTATCCCTTCTGGACATAGTCAAAACACCTCCTCTATCACCATTTGAATTTTAGCACCTGGGTATAGCCCATAAGGTTCAAACAGAACTGGGCTGGGAGATCTTCTCTGCAATGTACTATCTGAGTCAGTCTCTGTGTCTTATATATAGGAGATCATTAATGGTGTGAATGCAGTTGAGATGTTATAGCAACATAATGACCTAGGATATGCTCTACATAGTAAGAGCTAAGTTGTCATGGTCATTATTTTATCCAGACATAGGCCTATGACACCCTGCTTTCTGTTCTGGTGAACAGCTGTTCCCTGATGAGCATTTCTTCACAAGCTAGCTCTGCAATAGGAGTGGGAAGACCTAATACTTTAGGAAACCAAGCACATTTGGCCTCCTGTTTACAGGAGCCATGAGGGATTGAGGCTACCACTAAACTGAAACAGCTGACAAGGAGTCTATGCTGCACAAACAAACCTCCCATGCGGGAAAGAAGAAGAGGGGGCCTATGGATAAATAAAGGAAAGCAAGATAAAGTGAAACGTGAAAAAGGCCAAACCAAAGAGAAAAAGTGAACCCTTTCCTTTGGAATGAGGGTAAACCAATGAGGACATGATTTCATAAGACAAACTTGCAATCTGATTCATCTTCATGTTTACCAAGTTGGGCTGACACACACCCATCCACCTCTGACACACAGACACACAGACACAGACACACAGACACACAGACAAAGACACACACACACACACACACACGCAAAGGCTATCCTAGCCTGGCCCTAGGGAGTCAATGAGCTTCATCATTTTGCCTTCTGCTCCACCCTTTAGTGCAGGAGGTCCTGTACCTCTGCCCAAGAGAGGGCCACGAGCTTATGTTCTGTGTGTTTACATAGGTCAAAGGGCTCCAGCTCTAAAGCCCTGCCCAGTCCTGGAAGCACACCCTCTCCTGGAAATGGAGAATTGTCTTGAGACTCCAACACGGCTGGCTGCCCTGTTCCTGAACATGCATTAGAGCTCGGGGGCATTAGAGGAGGCCTTCCGGAAACTTTGCTATGGAAAGAACGAAATTGTTTTCCAATTAGTCCATATTCATGACGGATTTCCTGCGTCTGGTGGAACACACTGTTTAGTCTCCCCGACAGCCGCAGGCCTGCCACCACCAGGAACTGTGCCACTTAACTGGATGGAAGTAGATGGACTGGGGGTGTTTTCTAGTTCAGCAGCTCACTGCTAAAGCTGCTCATGACCGGAAGAAGATGAAATTATCCCAAGGACTCTGCCTTGGGAGAGGGGCCACTACATGTGTGAGGCCCTAGGTTCAATCACGAGCACTAAGAGAGAGAGAGAAAAAAAATCTTACTCTGACTTCTCTTTTTACTCCAAGGCAGAATAAAGTGCTTATGAAAGAATTCTCATTCCTGTTTGCCCTTTAAGCCATCCATCTCAGCCTTGGCATGTCACACCAGCAATTAACAGTCAGGTGCTTAACATGCCCTGCAGGCTCATGAGAGCGCTTGAAATACTGTTTCCCTCTGAGAACTGTGTACATGTCTGTCGCTGGAGAAGACCCTCAGGTGCTATTATTTCCTCAGAACTTGGACAACAGTCCATCCCCAGAGCCTGGCTATCAGTGTCACACCAAAACTAGTGAGCTGCATCAAGGGAATGGGTTGTTTAGAGTCTAGATTGGCAGGTTTGACAAGTGGTTAAGTTCGATTGCTTTGTTTTGAAAGTCTTCTCATGCAGCCAGAGACCCCCCCCACACATCTCTCCCCTCTGAGGTTGCTCTCTGTGTGCCTCATGTGACCAAGTTCACCCACAACAGTTCTGCAGTTTTACAAATCACTTGGCAGCCAGATCATAAAGTGCTGGGACCTCAGAAAATGTCAGGGGTTAGAGTACTGGGAAATACTTGTGTGAGAAAGGAATACTCTTTTATACGTTGTTCCACATTCTAGGCTCAGGCTACTATCCAGATGAAAGCTACAATGAAGTAAATGCAGAAGAGGCCCCAGTTGCCCGCACCCTGGATTACCGAGGTAATTCTCATTGTTTCTCAAGCTCAGTAAGGATGTTTTCTGGACCAAGATCTGGATCTTCCCAAAAATATCCTCATCCATGCTTACGTCCTGTGTGTCTGAATTACAGCTCAGAGAATCATCAACAACTATGGTTTTCTTTGTTGTCTTGTTTTTCTTCGTCCTTTTGTTTGGTTTTTAGGCATGCACTCCAGCACTGAGCCCAAGCCCTCTTGTTTTGTTCATTTCTTTCTTGAGACAGGGTCTCACTATGTATCTCTGGACAGCTTTGAACTCAAGATCCTTCTGCCTCAGTCTCTTCAGTGCTGGGGTTACAGGTATGCACCTCCACACCCAGCAGGTGTGCTATGATTTCTAATTACAAACTTGGTCACTGACTTGCTTTGTGGTTTTACCTCCCTGGCCTGAATTTTGCTCATCTATTATGAGTCATTAGCATGGGCTGAGTGCACTATGCCTATTCCTACGCAGGGTAGGCCTATGGGAAATACAAAGGCTACTACAAGACTCTGCCCCCTCAACGAGCTTGCGTTCTGTTGGGCGTGAAGTGAGAATAAAATTAATACATGCAGAGCAAATACGTGCGAAACTGTGTGGCAGACATAAATGAAATAGGAGTGTAAGGTGAAGAAAGAGGTGAGGCATGAAAGGTGACATTCAGGATAGGCCTTGAGTGATAAACAGACTGGTGTGAACCGGGAAAGATTATAGGTAGACACTTTCCAAGGCAGATGTTAAAGATATTAAAATAGAACCAACTTCACTGCACTAACGAACTAAGAAGAAATTACACTGATTTGATGGAATAGAATACAGGTGGAGTAGTAGAGAATAGAGTTGAATATAAAGAGTGAATTAGGAAAGGCCAAATGACCTTCTAAGGAGACACAGAAAGAATGCTGAATAGTAATTCCTTTATTTCATAGCAAGTCAGTTCAGGTGATGTCAAATATGACTTCAATTTATGATTCTCTTTGTCCATGTTTTCCTGAGCACACATAAGAGTTTAGCTGTTATGCTTTAAAGAGTGGTCATACGGTTTGTCACGGGTCAGTGACACTATAAAAGGTATTTCAGAACACTAACTAGGTTATTCTGTTTCATTTGGAAGAAGTAAAGCCTGAGTTGGGGAGAGATTTCAGGAGTCAGTTACAGTAATGTTAGGTGGAAACATTTGAATCTCGGAGCAAATAAATGTAGAGTAAGGATGGACCCCAGAGGGACTAGAGCGTAGCTCAATAGCAAAGTGAATGCTTGGAGTATAGAAGGCTTTCCTGGGTTAGAGTCCCAGCATCACAATTAAAGGATGTATTCCAGAGATGTTTCAAAGGAGATGGTAAGATTAGGTGCAGATTTTATATGCTAAGGGGTCAAGAAATTAATGTCTGAAAGAATCCAATCTGGGGCTGAAAAGATGGCTCAGAGGTTAAGAGTACTGGCTGCTCTTCTAGAGGACCTGGGTTCAATTACCAGCACCCACATGGCAGCTAACAACTGTCTATAACTCTAAGATCTTACAGCCTCAGACAGACATACATGTAGGCAACACTCCAATACAAATAAAATATAAATAAATAAATAATCTTAAAAAAAGAATCCAATCTGAATACCAAGGAGGACTCTTTAAACCCTTTCAGAAAGACAAAGTTTTTTTTTAAAAAGTAAACTAGGAGCCTGTGAGATGCTCAACTGGTAAAAAGAGCCTGCCAACAACATGAGTTCAATCCCCAGCACCACATAGGATAAGGACACACAGACACAACTACATATACATATGTGAGTATGCACTTGTGTGGATACACACACACACACACACACACACACACACACACACAGGAAAACTAATTTGGAAGGTTTCTGGGTAGACAGTTGAAAGAAAACATAAGTTTTGTGAGTACCCAACTAAAATGTAAGAGTTCTCTGAAGAGAGACACAAGGTAAACACCTTAAAAGGCATTGTTATATATGAGTAGGAAAAAAAAGATACATCAAATGAGAGAGAGTGTGTGTGAGAGAGTTAATATAGACAGTGTGGACGAAGATTGTCTATCAAGAATATTACGAATGCTGCAGATGAAAATTTAAAATATGGAATCAGCTATGTCAAGCATTGCAAAGATATCAAATGATAGTATTTCAGTTACTCAGGAGGTAAATGGTGGCCTTTGAAAAAGCAGTTCCAGTAGAGAAACGATCCAAGCTTGGGCTTCTTCTATGCTCCTTTCTGGCTATCCCTTTATTGTCTTCCTTTTACTGTCAATGGTGCACAAGCAATACCTCCGACTCTAAATTTCCTGCAGCCTGTTTCCCCATCCACCCATAGATCTCCAGCTGACACAACACATCTTGAAAATGATAGTTCTCCCTTAAACACCAAATCGTATGGTATAGCCTTGAGATTCAGTTTCCTCCGTATCTCAAACAGCAGTGAGCAAGCACATCCTTTTCTTATTGGTTCCTCTTCCTTGGATTTCATGGAAATTTCCTTATTCTGGTCATAGTTGAAGTAAAGCTAGGAATTGGGGTCTCTGGTAGTGACCATGGAGAAAAGAATGCTGGCATCTGAATTTTGGACAGCACTGACTTAGCTCCACAGCTCCTAGACTGCATCTCTAACACTTCTAGACACACCTATTTAGAGATGTCTTAAAAGCAATTATTTTGTCCCATCTGAAAAAAAAAGTTGTACTGTAATTTCACTGTCGTACTTTCTGATAATACTACCAATATCTCCTTAGTGACTCAGACTTCAAATACCCCAGTGTCACTTCTAACAATACCCATCACATTTAATAACTGTCTTTCCTCATTATGTATCCACCAAGACCGATTATTTCTTTAATACATGGGATTGGAATTATTATTATTATTCCATATATAGGCAAAGGCTGTTGTTTCCTAATAAGATTCTCTGGCTCCACTCCCCAATGTAGTGACCTAGTAAACCCACTTGAAATCAAAATCTAGCCTTGGGTCTCAGTCTGACAACATTTTACACCATTTCTCCACATGAAATCCATGCTTTAGTTAGGATAGTTACTGGATTTTTTCCCACAAATTGATTTAGGACACATGGGGCGTTCCCTCACCCATTCATTCACTTTTCCTATTGCATCTATTCATTTATTTGAAGGAAGTGTGCCACAGTACATGTGTGGAAGTTGAGGACCATTTGCCAGAGTTGGTTCTTTCCTTCTACCATATAGCTCCTGTGGACCAAACACAGGCTGTCAGGCTTTTTTGCAAGTACATTTACCCACTCAGTCATCTTGCTGGTCCTCATTATTTAAGTATCTACTATGTACCTCTTCTGAAATTAAAGTTTCATTTATTTGTTTGTTTGCCAAAACCACTCACTCATCTGACCTTCATTATGTACTGCTTATTGCTCTAAACAGCCTAGTTATTTAACAAATGGAACCATGCATATATCACTCCCACAGAAGCATATGAAAAGTGGGTGCTGACTGTTACCTTCTGGGAACCAAAACTGGAAGAATCTGGTACTAAAAAGCATCAGATGCAAAAGGTACTTCTTTATGTGGCATTATGAGTTAGATGGAGGGTCTCGTGCATGCTAGGCAAGTGTTCTACCACCAAGCCAGACATCCAGCTCCAGAGCTACTTTTGGAGGGTCTGGCATCCCCATTATTACTACTTACTTGCCTCACTGATTATTTTTAAATCATGAAAAGTCCTTCAGAAACTTATATATCACAAGTAGCGTTTGCCTTGGTGTCCAGTGTCCAGTAACTCTCATTGGAACTTAGTCTCCAGGCCTATAACAAACTAAGGCTATCAATGAAGCATGCAAAGGAGTGGCCAGGAAAAGTACAACCTGAGGTTTTGGCCTCCTTTGTAGTGCTCTTTGGGCCTCGTAATCATTTTCTCTGCAACTGTACCATTTCAAAACTTCCTGCAACTTAGAGACGATATCACCGAGTGGAAGTACTGGAAATGGACACCGGTGTATTGGTGCTTGAAGACACGTGAGACAGTGGCTCCAACCCAGACACCGATTTGGACAAAATCATTCCTGAGAGTGGGTATTTCATGCGTGAGGTTTTGCTTTTGTTTTGTTCTGTTTCATTTTCCAGATGGTGTCCCTCTGTAGAAGCCCTAGTTGTCCTGGAACTAGCTCTGTAGACCAGGCTGGTCGGGTACTCACAGAGAACTGCCTGCCTCTGCCTTGAGGGGATTAGAAATAAAGGTGTATGCCACCATAGCCCTGCTTGTATGGGTTTTTATTTGATTCTCACCATAGCCACATGGGGCTGCTTTATTATCTCCCATTTTACAGACCAGAAAACTCAGCTCAGGGAAGTCTTAGAGTGACAGAAATTAATGAGGCAGAAGAGGCATTTAAACCTAGGTCTGTCTGACTATAAAGCCATGCTTATTCCATCTCTTTCATTAAAAATGTAGCTTTTTTAAGATAAAGAGAAGAGATAGCAAAGAAAAGGCATATCCTTATTTTAGGGAATACTGTCCACATAGTTTGATATTGTTTTCCCAAACCTTACCCTTTCTGACATTCTCTTATCAGGAAATCTGAAGTCAGAAACCTTTCTCTGCCTTAGTCTGCTGGGTGGCTAAGGGGCCTCAAAGCTTGTCTCAACCTTTGGAAACTAGTCAATTCCTGAGTTACCTCAAGTTTACCTTAGAAATGGTCTTTTCCTTGTCAGCCTTTCTCATGTTTGCATGCCCAGAGGGGGGTGGAGAGAGAGAGAGAGAGAGAGAGAGAGAGAGAGCCCTTCCAGTTTCTTAACTCTAGCCAAGTTGTTATTATGTGTTACTCATAATACTAAGTATTCTATAAATGTTATTTCATTTAAATAAACCACATGCATGCTTGCTATGTTGTGATATGTAAAGATCTCTAAACTATATTATTCACTTCAAAAATAGTGGTTAGAGCTGGGCCTTTGGATCATTGCTAGAGCACTTGCCCAGCATGCATAAGGTCCTGGGTTTGATCCCAAGAACCACAAAATATAAAGTAGTAGTAGGAACAGTGTACACAATATGCCACTGTATGTGGGAAAAGAGGGAAGAAAAGTAAGAAATTAAACAAGGACTTGCATTCCACCAATAAGCTGTTATCATAGGTTCTCTGGAAATGGAATGGATGATCTTAGGCATATGAGAAGGACTGAGAGAAAATATTTACTGTGTAGCTATTTACACTTTGGGAGTTTTGAACCGGTGGATACATTCTTTCTTCAAAAGATCAGTGAATACTTCAAAATGGCAGCCGCAGTAACAGATTTTTGTACTTAGAACAAGTTTTTAGAATAGACAAACTTGGATTCCATCATGACCCTGACCCTTACTTCCCAAGGAACCCTGGGAAAGTCATCTAAAAACATAGGGATAAAGACCATGTAAGTCATTGAGCTATTGGAAGAACTATATGAGATGGGCATGAAAAGGGAAGGATGATGCATGCCTAAACACAGGACTCAATATTATTACATTTCCCAGCAGACATTTTAGCATGCACTATTTAACCATAGTCTTGGCTCCAGTTCCCACTGACAGTCTTTCGGTACAGTTGTCCAACCAGTTATGACTCTAACTGTTCATCTCATTATCCCTGGCATGAAAGGCATTGTCTGTCATGCCTCACTGACTTCCACATAACATAATTATCACCGTCCCTGTTCTACCAGTCTGGTGGCCCTACCCAAAAAGGAAATGAAGTCCTTCTGGAATTACTTGTTCTTGGGTGCTCCTGCTGGCTCATGAGCCTCACTTTGAAATAACCTAGAACACTGCGCTATCAGTTCCATCAGTGTTACCAGACTCCACTTCTACAGACTACCTTCTCCCTTATTTGAAAGCTGAATTTGTGGTTTTGCCCGTTTCCTGTCTCCCAACATTCTGCCTTCTGTCCCAATTCCTCTGTGCTAACATTTTTTAAAAATTCAAAGACATATATATTGTGTGTTGAATGACTCCCTCCCTACCTGTCCACCCTCCCATTTCTCACCCTGACGGCTTCCATTAGTCCTCCCTGTTCAGCTTAAACAGTTCTATTTGTACTTTCAGGCCACAATTGTCTACATCTGTATAAAGTGTAGGAATCACAAATCTTTTAAAAATATGTGATATTTGTCTTTCTGAGATAAGGCCAGCAAGCTTGAACTTCTTTACAGTGGCTGGACTCCTTTCACTCTCTCTACATGGTTCTGAGGTTTGTATTTCTCTCTCCCATTCTTCTTTTCTCTACCAGTTTCATTCTGGTATGAGTTATCCTTCACAGAATATGGGAGACAAATAGAACAGAGCTGCTTTTGAGGTCCCAGACCCCCATGTTTAAGTCTTTGTGATCTGTGTGGTGGCTTTGTAATCATCTGCTCTGCAAATCTAGCATTTAAAAAACATTATGTAATTTGGAGTTGGTGTCTCCAGATGTCATCCCTGTTACTGCCACTGATTTAAACTGAAACTGGAAGCCCCAAGCATGGTACTGGTTGAAGAATTGTTTTCTCTCTGTCTTCTGTCTTCATTCTCGAGTTGCATGCAAACAGAAGCCCTAGCCTTTCATTGCTCCTTGTCCTCCTGATGTAATGTGCTTTTGGTAAAAGTTGCTCCTGTCTCTGTCCCTGAGGTTTGAAAATCAAATAAACTTATATTGTGCCTTTGCCTTCCAAATGCTAGACAAACAAATCTGTGCTAAGCTGTATGTGTAACATTGTGCAACCCATCATCCAGTTGTTTCCCTGTGTTCCTCTAAAATCTGAACCATATAGAACGAGGAGTAGTGGTACACACCTGTAATCCCATCAATCAGAAGATTAAGGCAGGGAATCATGAATTTGATGCCAGCATGGGCTAAATAGCAGACGCTACTGTCTCAAAAAAAATAAACACAAACACAGAACCAGTGGAAGAAGCATTTATTTTTTCACCACTAAGGTGTCTTTATGATATAAACACCCTGTAAAGTTGTATGCTCAGTACTGAACTGGGATTGGGTTTTTAATCCTCAGTGGTCTGCTTTGATGTCATGTTCCTGTTCTTTCTCTAGTCTATATTTTCCTTGTTTTTAAAAGCTGTTTTAAATTTGTATTACAGCAGAATGCACATTGTGGTGTACAGTTCTATGAGTTTTGAGAAACAGAATAAGTTATAGAAAAAGATAGCTACCGCCAAAGGGGGGAAAGTTTTATCACCTCAGAAACTTGTCCCATGCTGCCATTTTGTAGTTCTCCTCTATCTTTTTACCTTTAACACCTGGCAACTACTGATACGTACTCTATGCCTGTGGTATTGCCTATCTATGTGCCTTGATATTAGTCATATAAACACACTTACACTTCATCTGTGCTGTCACATGTATCAGCACTTCATTCTTTTTAAATTAATTTTTATTTAAATTAAAAACAATCTTATTTTACATACCAATCCTAGTTCCTTCTTCCCTATGTCTTCCCATTCCCCCAGCAAACCCCATTCCACCCCCATCCATTCCTCAGGTAGGATGAGGCATTCCATGGGGGAATCATTAAAGTCTGTCATATCATTTGGAGAAGGACCTATGCCCTCTCTCGTGTGTTTAGGCTGAGAAAGTATCCCTCCATGGGGAATGGGCTCCCAAAGTCTATTCATGCACTAGGAATAAATACTGGTTCCACTGCCAGAGACCCCATAGACTGCCCAGGCCTCCCAACTGACACCCATGTTCAGGGGGCCTTGTTCGGTCATATGCTGGTTCCCCAGCTGTCAGACTGGGGTCTGTGAGCTCTTACTTGCTCGGGTCAGCTGTTTCTGTGCGTTTCTCCAGCCTGGTCTTGACCCTTTTGCTCATCACTCCTCCCTCTCTACAACTGGATTCCAGGAGTTTGGCTCAGTGCTTAGCTGCAGCATTTCATTCTTACACAGAGAGAAACTCATTAAATCCACTACTCACAGATAGAACCAATCTTTGGCAACTAGGAATAGAGGTACTTTAAGCATTAGTGTATAAGATTGTGTGTGGACCCACATTTTCATTTCCCTTGAGTAAACAAGGAAGCGAAGTTGGAGAGTCAAATGGTAAGCAATCCTTTCTTTACACAGAAAATAGAATATTACTCTTCTATAAACTAGCATTTTACAGTATGTCAGTGTTTTTACATTTTCCCAAGCAATATTTAAGAGTTCTGGTTTCTCTCCATCTTCTTCAGCACTTAGTGTAATCATTTCATACATTAGACATTCTAAGGGATATATTGATATTTCCCTAAGGTTTTAATTTGCATTTATTTAGTGAATAATGGTGAAGAACATTTTTCCTGTTTATTAATCATTCATAGATCCTCTTTAATAACATGTCTCTGTGTCTTTTGTCTAGATTCTAACTGGATTGTTTGGAGCATTTACATCTTTACTATTCAGTTTTGAAAATTCTTTCTATATTCTCTATCCCATTCACTAATATTTTGTTGTTTATATGATATGATGTTTGCAAATATTTTCTCCCAGTTTTTGCATTTTCTTGGAACTCAGTCATAGAGCAAAAGTTTTTACTTTTGAAAAGGTCTAGTTGGTTGGTTTTCTTTAATGATTTATACTTTTGGTATCATGTCTGGGACTTCTTTGCTTATCTTTGAACCCCAGAGATTTTCCAATCTTCCATATTTTTGTGCTTTGTTTTAAATGTAAATTGAACTTCCGCTTTTATTAAACTTTTGTTATAAGGTGTGAGACTTAAGTTCTATTTCCTTTCTTCTTCTGCCTCATTTCTCCACATGAAATTTCAGTTTCTCCAGCACCATTTGGTTTGCAAAACTGTCTTTTCTCCATAGAATTGTTTTTGTACATGTGTCTGAAATAATGTTGACCTACTTAAGCCTACTTCTGGGATCTCCATTCTGTTCTACTGAGTTCTGTGTATTCTCTTTTAACACTGCCACACTGTTTTGTCATTGCTGTTATTGTTTTGTTTTTATTTATTTTTGAGGTTGAATTTTAATTACAACATTTCTCTCTTCCCTTTCCACATATCTGTCCTCACTCTCCTTTGAATTCACAGCCTCTTTTTCCTTCAGTTGTTATTGCATGCATATATGCATTTGTATATATGTATCATATAGTAAGTGCTGGTAGATCCAGTTAATCTGTTGCAAAAAGTGACCTGGCTTTCTTTAATGCTTATAGATGTGGAAATCTAATTACAGAAGGCCTTACTGTTTACTATGAGCTATGAGAATATACAATGGGCATAGCATTTTGCCTATAGAGCTAGGCTCCTTCCCCTCTTTCCTAGATAAAGATAAATGTGTGTTTTTAAGAAATATTTATGTTTAAGAATATATATGTATAAGCCTATTGAGTCCATAAAATGATATTTGTATGTATGTTTTCTGGGTTGACTATTAAGCACTAGACAACCAATTGGTATGCTTGTCCCTGAGGAGCTTGTCTTCGGCTCCTAGCTCTTACTCAGTTGCTTTTATTTCTCTCTGTAAGGTTTATTACTGTACTTCTAGCTTACTTTTCCTCTGCTACTACAGTCCCCCGATGGTGTTATACATTGAATATCCAGGACGGAGAAGCAACTTGCTACTCACCAAGGGGAGGAAATTATCATAGCAGCCTAGGCACACGTTGTGAGCTATCCTGTGACCGGGGCTTTCGACTGATTGGACGGAGGTCGGTGCAATGCTTGCCAAGCCGGCGTTGGTCTGGAACTGCCTACTGCAGGCGTAAGTTATATGTGAGCATATATTGACGTGTGTATGAAGAGAAGGCAGCCTGCTGGCCATGGAAGGTACATACCTGGAAGTTTTACTCAGTGAAAGTTGGGAATTTTCCATAGGCCTCCAACAGAGCTTTTCCTCTTTCTGACATTTTAGTTTATTTTTCTCTGTATGTGATTACTGTCCAAGTAATATGGGTATTTAAGTCACAGCCAGCCACTATGACTCATAGAACCCAGAAATGTGTGTAGGAGGATAAAGTTGGCCATGAGGAAGTGATGTAGGCCTGGGCCACCTCTTGGAGCTTCCAAGGATGTGTTCCAGACTCTTCCCACTTGTGGTTAAGTGTCATCCTTCTTACCCTACAGCCTTAGAAGGTCTTGCCAGTAAAGCTAATGAAACATCTGCTAGTCATCATTTTCTTCTTAAAGTAGGAAGAATACCCAGTGCTATAACAATAGGGTACAAATCCACACATAGCCCAAATCCTATCTCCCTTCATCTTCCATAGCTCTTATTCAAACTCTTTAGTCCTTTGGCAGCAGAGATTTTTCTTCCATATATGATCAGCAAATACCATTTGAAGGGCACCCAAGGTTCTACCCTGGCTGCTTCAGGAGCTCACTCAGCTTCTTGAATCTCCTAGGGTTGCAAATAGGCTAATGAGATAGAAACTATTGTTTTCACTGTCATATAATACCAAGTAAGTGAATTCATCAAAAGAGACCAATCTTTCTGAATTCTGGTTCTGATTTCAAGGAGGTAATTTTTTGGATGTGATTTTTACATAACAAATACAAGAAAACAGTAAAGCAATAGTCTTAAAGCTTCATTTAGTCAAGAAGAAAAAATAAATAGAACCTATATAGAATTTTTCTAAAAAGTTTGAACATTCAAACTCATGCAGGATTATAACTTAGAGAAGCTAAAGAAATGTGCACAGCTTACTTCTCTCAAGTATCAGGTGTCCCAAACAAGAGCAATGACAGGCTCATGACTATTCTATGATAACAGCCTTTAAAGTACACAGATTCCACCTTTATTAAATATAATCATGCCCTCCAGACAGTGGCCTGAATCATGTGGACAGAAAGCCAGCTGATTTTAAATGAGCCTTGGCTGAACTATGTGTACAGCTAAGGAGCCTTGAACATGCTTTAGGGCATACATATCATCTGAAGAAGACACAGCATCTAAGGAATAAGAAACAAAAATTAACCATTGCCGATGCTTTCTTTAAATTGTCCTATTTAGGTAGATATATTTTACTGATAAAAAAACAGTGAAGCTCGGAGAAATGAGGCAATGCCTGTAAGTCACAAAACAAGAGGTGAAGTTAGGATGCAAATAAAGATGTTATTTTGATAATCATGCAGTCAGACAACTGATTTACCTTTTTTGGACTGCACTATTCATCCAACTAATATTGCTTCTTTACTTTGTAATATGAAAGTTAAGAGCAGCCTGGGTGAGTTTTCTATAGTCTCTGTTGAATATGACACTGATCCCCCTATGATAAATGCTCATACATCACCTCCAGATAGTCCCACAGTGTACTGAATTTGCTGTTTGGTTCTCTCTTAGAGATGAGATGCCATGCACTGCCATTCATCACTAGCGGCACCTACACCTGCACAAACGGGGTGCTGCTTGATTCCCGCTGTGACTATAGCTGTTCCAGTGGCTACCACTTAGAAGGTGATCGCAGTCGTATCTGCATGGATGATGGACGATGGAGTGGAGGCGAGCCTGTATGTGTAGGTAAATGTTGGTAGCTCTGCTGGTAACTGCTGCAAAAAGGGACCTGGCATTATGCTCACAGATGTGGAATTCTGATCACAGAAATCATATACATTGTGTATGAGAATACACAATGGGCATAGCATTATTGCCTACAGAGTCAGGCCCCTTTCCCCTCTTTCCCATATAAAGGTAAACTTTTGTTCTTTCACCTACCAGTGGTATGTAATTTTGCTTCCACTAGGGAAAGCAGGGGATCTATAAATCCACACTTGATCTTTGACCTTGACAGACATAGATCCACCCAAGATCCGTTGTCCTCATTCACGTGAGAAGATGGCAGAGCCAGAGAAATTAACTGCTCGAGTATACTGGGACCCACCGGTGGTGAAAGATTCTGCCGATGGTACCATCACCAGGTGAGCTTGTGTCATGCATGCCTCTTGTGTCCCTCGCACTTCCTCCCAGTCCCCCGGAATACTCACAGTCAGACAATGCAGGCTGTACCTGGACTGATGATGTGCCTCAGATATCAATTCTAACCATCTTTCCCTCAGAAGCTCAGTGACTCCTTTATCCTGTCCCATGCAGGGTGACACTTAAGGGTCCAGAGCCTGGTTCTCACTTCCCTGAAGGAGAGCATGTGATTCGTTACACTGCCTATGACCAAGCCTACAACCGGGCCAGCTGCAAGTTCATTGTAAAAGTACAAGGTCAGACAAAACTCTTCATCGGACACACTGGTCAACATTCCTGCTCTGCCCTGACCTTCAGAAACCCACAGCAAGCCCCTCCTCTTGTCCATATTGGGAGGTACATAGGGGAAAGGTCAACTTCATCAAACAGATTTATTAAGAAAATCCATACTGCGGGCTGGAGAGATGGCTCAGAGGTTAAGAGTACTGGCTGCTCTTCCAAAGGTTCTGAGTTCAATTCCCAGCAACCACATGGTGGCTCACAACCATCAGTAATGAGATCTGGTGCCCTCTTCTGGAGTGCAGACATATATGGAGGCAAGATGTTGTCATAATAAATAAATAAATCTTAAAAGAAAGAAAATCCATACTGCATAGGCATAAAATTGTTGCAGAAACCTTGACACTCCAATAAGATTCTATCATTCTTCTAAATCTAGATAAAATTAGCAGATAGTCTACATTCATTTCTTTTCTTGGCCTTAAAAATGATCAAATCTAATCAGTCTTTGCATCCACTCACATCTGCTGAAATGATAATGTTGGTTTGGTTGCCTAGTGTTTTCCTCTCTGCTTCCTGTCACATTGTTTCACTTTGCCTTTATTACCATTAGAATAATTCAGGATCATAATTAGACGTTTTAAAATACAGAAATAGCTAGATATAGTAGCACATACCTGTAATCCCAGCATATGAGGCAGAAACAGGAAGATAGCAAGTTCAAAGTCAGTCTGGACTACATAGCAGGGCGCTGTCTCAAAAATAAAATGAAACTGATACATAAACATAATAATTACTCCATCTCCCAGGGCTCATTGTTGGTAACATTTTAGTATCGTCCCTCTAGTCTTTTCTCTATACATATTTATAATATATAATTAAAGATAACCCTTTCCACTTTTCATTAAAACATAAGCAGTTTTCCCATATTCTTTGATGTTATTTTCATATTTTCAATCACAATACAATAATTCTACTTTAAAATGTATCATGATTGGTTTAATCATTCTGTCCATCATTGACTCATCTGATGTATATCCAATTAAAAGTAAGTCTGGCCAATTGTGGTGGTACATACCCATAATATCAGTACTTGGGAAGCTAGGGCAGAAAGACAGTGAGTTTGGGCCCTCTTAGGCTCCACAGAGAATCCATTACAGTCTGTGCTATATTGATTGTGAGACCAGATTTCAATAGAAAACAAAAAGTCACTCTGCAAGTTAATCATCTTTACACTGGGTATCTATAGAAGTCTACAAATATAGTTGACAACACTTTCTTTTATACATTTATAGTCACCACATGACTATACGTGTGTTTCTGTCTGTCTGTCTGTATCTGTGTCTATTTGTGTTTGTGTGTGTTTCTAAAGACTAGGAACCTGTATTTGCATTTCAAATTTAATTCCTTAGGGAAGGAAACTGTACCTCCATCTCCGACTACTGGAAACACAAAAAAAGTTATTCATTCAGATAATCTATTTTTCTTTTTTCTTTTCTTTTCTTTCTTTCTTTTTTTTATTTTCGAGACAGGGTTTCTCTGTATTGCTTTTGAGGTTGTCCTGGAACATTCTCTGTAGACCAGGCTGGCCTCAAACTCACAGAGATCCACCTGCCTCTGTCTCCCTAGTGCTGGGAATAAAGGCATGCACCACCAACACTCGCCATTCGGATAATGTCAAGTCTCTTGTTCTAGAAAGTCAAGACTGGCTCTCTTAGCCTTTCCTGACTATAAGAGATATCACAACCCCTAACTTCAACTTCTCCCTGGCAGTAAGACGGTGCCCAATTCTGAAACCACCACAGCATGGCTACCTCACCTGCACCTCCGCTGGAGACAACTATGGAGCCACCTGTGAATACCATTGTGATGGTGGTTATGAACGCCAGGGCACCCCATCCCGAGTCTGCCAGTCAAGTCGACAGTGGTCGGGATCACCGCCTATCTGTACTCGTGAGTGAAACTAGGAAATGATTGAACAGGCCTATGGCTCAGGAGCACTTTGGAAGAAATTCTTCCATGGTCCAGAGGCCTAATATCACTGTGTGTGAAATGAGAATGGGGGTTCTAACATCGGCCTATTTAAGATATAAGATATCTTTTTTTTTTAATCATTTTTTATTTTAATTTTAAATAGCTTGTTTCACATGTCAATCCCAGTTCCCTCTCCCTCCCCTCCTCCCGCACTCCCCTTCCACCCTCCCTCCCACCCTATTGCCAAATCCCTCCACATAGGGGATGTCTAGAGTCTATCATTTCACTCTTGGTAGGGTCAAGGCACTCCCCTAAGAGTCCAGGCTGAGAGAGCATCTCTCTTTGTGCCATAGGCACATGAAGACAGATTGTATACCAGGGATAGACACTGATCCACAGCTCAGAGCCCCATAGGTTGCCCAGGCCTTCTCACTGACACTCACATTTGGGGGGTCCAGATCAGTCCCATTCTGGCCTCCCCACTGTCGGTCTGGGGTCCAAGACACAACTAAGCACTGAACTGAACCCAAGGAACCCAGTGACAGAGAGAGAGGAGTGATGAGCAAATTGGCAAGGAATGGGCTGGCAAAACCAGCAGAGACGGCTGATCTGAACAGGGGAGTGCTCTTGGACCCCAGATATAAGATATCTTAAAGATATAAGGTATAAGAGAATGCTTATACCTTAAGAAGAAGGGTATAAAATATTCAGGGTTCCTTCTGGAATTCACCACAGGGAAGGGAGGGCAAGGATGTAAAAAACTAGAATGCCTTGCAGGATGAAGAACGGCATGTTCTGACTGACCATCTGCTTCTGCCCTAGGTATGAAGATTAATGTGAATGTCAACTCAGCTGCTGGCCTCCTGGATCAGTTCTATGAGAAACAGCGACTCCTCATAGTCTCAGCTCCTGATCCCTCCAATCGATACTACAAAATGCAGATCTCCATGCTGCAGGTGAGACCTACTTTCCTGGGATGGCCTAGCAAAATGTTTTCTCTGTGCAGCACAAAACCTATGCATTCCTACCTTTTGTGGGCAGTATTTGATTCGGGTTATCATTAGGTACCTTGATCACATTTCAAAAAGTATTCGTTCTGTTGAAAATTCAGTAAGTTCACTGCAATGGTAGGTATATATTGCAAGGAACTGGGTGTAGGCTGGGAAAGGAATGTGGAGAAGCTTGTAAAATAGCTACAATCAAATATAAATATTAAGAATAAACTGCATGCATGTTTTCAAGGAATTTCACTTGTATAATAAGTATTAGGTAAGTACCAGGTAACACTGGCATGCTTTTACACATATACAACTAGTTCTCCCACCAACCCCTATGATGTAGGTGCGATTCTATGCCCCACTGAAGAGGTGAGGAAACTGAAAACAGCCAGTTCATCCAAGAACACTAATTGTAGGTAATGGAGCTGGGACTGAACCCAAGCTGTCTAGCCCTGGGTCTGTGTTGTCAATCACTATCAGTACAAAAGTGCTGTGATATCATAAAGGAAAGCAGGAAGTTGCATGGTGATTTTAACTGCTGAGTGGGAGAGATAGGTAGGTAGGTAGGTAAAAGACTGATAAAAAGACCAGACAGGGTGACTGTCACAAACCATGTTTCTCTTTTCTACTCCATGCTGCAAATCAGTTTCAGGCACTTAAACAGAATAAAGAAAACACTTCTGTGTAGCAAGTACTTCAGGGATGACAGGGAAGAGATTGTACAGATGCCATAGCATGTGATAACTTGATTATAAGATTGTGTGATTGTTGCAGAAGCCCTTCCTTTCCTATGTTGCCTTATGCGGTCCCAGGAGGCAGTCAGTCAAGCAGACTAAGAATGTAAGTGCAATCGGTTATTGTGTTTAATGTTCTCCCTCCCTCCCAGCAATCCACCTGTGGACTGGACTTGAGGCATGTGACCATTATTGAGCTGGTGGGGCAGCCACCTCAGGAGGTGGGACGCATCCGGGAGCAACAACTGTCAGCCAGCATCATTGAGGAGCTCAGGTGAAGGGTGGAAGGATGCAGGGCAGGGATGGGCAAGAACCTGACACAGGACACTAGCGAGCAGGAGCAGGGGCTCTCAGAAGCATCCCTTGTGCTTGAACTCTTATCGTTTGAACTCTTTATAGTTGCACTAAGTCTGGAGAGTGACTCTCAGCTCTAATGGAACATAACAACTAAATGGAGGCTTAAAATACACATAACCAGGGGAGCCGGGCGTTGGTGGCACACGCCTTTAATCCCAGCACTCCGGAGGCAGAGGCAGGCGGATCTCTGTGAGTTCGAGGCCAGGCTGGACCGACAGCCTCCAAAACAAAGAAACCCTGTCTCGTAAAACCAAAAAAAAATACACATAACCAGGCTCTCCCACAAACCACATCTCTGGGCTTTCATAAAAGCACCCTGGGTGACTTTGAAGAGCCACGGCTGAGAGAGACACAAAGGATTCCACTCCAGACAGGAATCGCTAGGAAGATTCTGATCATTGCCTATGAGCTCCTCTGTTTACCTTCAGTCTCCAAAGGAGAGAAAGGCATCTTTGGTCACTGAAATCTGAATCGTATCTATCTGTCCCTCATGAAAGAGAAGGTTACAGGTAGCAGGTGGTAGAAGTTGACTTTTCTCATTATCTATCCATTATCAGCCTTACAGTTCCCCAATTATGCTCAGGCCCAATAAAGCCATCAGTGTTCTGTGTTTGAGAAACAATACCTACCTCTAGGATTCAGTTCCAATGGGGACAGAATGATTGCAGCCAGTTAAAGAGACTAGGAAACACTGTAAGGAAGGAGACAGCAGACTTGCAGCTACAGGTGGAAGAAAGAGTTAAGCAGGATTTGCTTAAACCTCGTAATCGCTAGGTACAATACCCATACAAGTCATGGTGTCTGCAATACAAGCCTCCTGGAGTTTCTCTAGACAGCCTGCACGCAGTAGGTAATAGCCTTGCTTAAAGTGGAAAACATGGTGCAGAAATACCAGGTTAGGGTGAGGAAGGAAAGCTAGATGTCTAAGGCTACCAAGACTAGGAACTGAGAAGAAAATAAGCAAAAAGGATCTGAGATAGGTAGGGGAGGGACACAGGAAAGGTTGGAGCTGGAAAAGCAGAGGGTGGTAGCACAGTCTTTCGGAACTTGGACCAAGGTCTCATACCTCTCTGGGCTGCTCTGTCTAGGCAATTCCAACGCCTCACTCGTTCCTACTTCAACATGGTGTTAATTGACAAGCAGGGTATTGACCGGGAACGCTACATGGAACCTGTCACCCCTGAGGAAATCTTCACATTCATCGATGACTACCTGCTGAGCAACCAGGAGCTGGCACAGCGTCGTGAGCAAAGGGATGTGTGCGAGTGACCTTGAGTCAGGGTGTGGCCAAGGTCAAGTGTACAACTGTCCTAGGTAGCTTTAACTGAGGAGGAAATATTTTCCCAGTGTTGGGAGCCGGACTCAGGTGGGGGTGAGGTTTGCCAAATCTAGTACGGTTCCAGGCATCATTTTAGGGTAGAATAATTGTTTCCCTAAGCAAGGCTCCATTTCAGGTAGCCCTGGAGGAGCATATGAAAGTAGGTTGGGACTTAGGACAGGCCCTGGGCAGTGGATCGGGTGTAAATGGTCTTCTTCTCCTGACTAGAGCCTCTGCCTAGCTCTCCAAACTCTTTCAGAGAAGTAAATCCTAAATTCATTCATTTACTGTTGCAAATGGTTCTTTTACTCTATGGTGACAGCAGAGGGCAGCATTATAACAGACAAGCAGGACACTGAAGAAGTAGAAATAGAGTTTCCTTACAGTTAATCCATTGTATTAGGAGCAGGAGAGGGGTGACAAGGGTCTACAAAAAATTCTTGAAGCTGATTATCACTTCCCTTTCCAGGACACTGGGCTAAAAAATGTTGTTTAAACCATTGCTTCATCAAGAGTTAGAAAAGCATTTTCCGTAGGAGTTTGGGAAGCAACACCCAGCCATAGCAGGATGTTCTCTCCTAGACATTCCAACTAGCTTGTAGGCAGGAACTTCTGCCTACTGAGGGCTTTAGTGACCCTAATGGTGGCTCTTCATTAGAGAGTTCCCCAGTCTGGGAACTAGATCAACTTTAGGAACTGGGAAGACAGCTCAGCTGATAAAATGCCTTCCATGTAAGCATTTGATCCCCAGGACCCATGAAAAATGGCTAGATGTGGTGGTGTATACACGAAACCTCAGTGGAGAGGTAGAGATAAGTAGATGTGTGGAGATCACACACAGGCACATATGTGTATACGTACACACACACACACACACACACACACACACACACACACACACGTCAACATCACCAGCAGCAAACATAGTAGGAAAGCAAAACAGATAACCTCATGCATTGAATGCCTCAGATATCCACTTTTAAGAGGTGAACGCAGAGCAGGGAGCTACAGGAGCCAAATGTCAAGGTCCGAAAGTAAACTTGAGGTTGGGCTTTTGGGAAATGGAGGCACACACAGACCCCTGCTTTTCCTTTTTTCTTTCTTCCTCTGCCTTGCCTCTTTTGTGCCCCCACTCCTTGCCCCTTTTTGCTGGGCATTAAAGCCAGGGTCTCCCCCATTCCAAACACTACTACAGAGACATCTCCAGTTGCAGATTTCTGCTCTGACTTGGGTCTCATAAGGGGTCTTTCACCAGTGTTTGAAAAGAAGTTCTCCCCTTGCTTCTGAGAACTGTCTCTTCTACGTTGATGGAAGCCAAAGTCATAGTCAACACTCAGATGCCCTGTTCCTTTAGCTTTCTCTTGGGCACCATCATTGGACAACTGGAGACAGCAAGCAGGCTGGGTAGGGAGGCAGAGACAACAATGCTCAAAAACCTACTATGCGCTGGGTGCCATTATAAACACACTACTGATTGACTCAGAAGTCTTCAAGAGAGTCATAGAGGTAGGTGTTGTTATTAGCTCCCATTTACTGATAAATGAATTGAATTCCAGACAGGCTAGGCAATATGTTAAGATCCCACAGCTCTTAAGTGACAGTTGGGCATAGATACCAGTGGCCAGGCTCCACTAAGCCATCTGACCTCTACTTTTTTTTCTACTTCCCATTAAAAGATAATTGAACACTCTAAGAAGAAAGGTTCCAACTTCTATGGATACAATATTCACAGTGGTCCCAGGAGGAAGGAGCAAAATAAAAGACTCTCAGGTCAGGAAAATTCCTCTTTAAAGCAGAGTGGTAAGACATAAATCATAAGCCTACAACACAAGGGCATAACAGTGAATCAGAGAGAAGCACTTTCAACTGGACTTTCAGTGGAAATCTCACTTTTTTGTAATGTTTTTATTTAAATTAGAAATGTGAATGTTTCACATGTCAATCCCAGCTCCCTCTCCCACCCCTCCTCCCTTGTCCCTCCACCAGCCCCCTAGCCCCCCACCCAATCCACACATCATTCCCCAGGGAGGGTGAGGCCCTCCATGGGGAGATCTCTAAAGTCTGTCATTTCATCCTGGGCAGGACCTAAGCCCTTCCCCATGTGTCCAGGCTGAGAGAGCATCCCTCTATTTGGAATGGGCTCCCAAAGATAATTCATAAAGCATGGTAAACACTGATCTACTACCCAAGGCCCCAGTGATTTCTATGGCCTCCTCACTGTCACTACATTCATGGAGTATGGATCAGTTCCCTGTTGGCCTCTTAGCCATCAGTCTGGGATTCAAGAGCTCCCCCTTATCTGATCAGCTGTCTTTGTGGGTTTCACCATCATGGTCTTGACCCCTTTGCTCATCACTCCTCCATCTCTGTCACTAGGTTCCAGGAGTTCAGTTCAGTGTTTAGCTGTGGGTATCTGTCTCTGCTTCCATCAGTCACTGGATGAAGGTTCTAGGATGGCATGTAAGGTAGTCATCAACCTTACCATCAAGGAGGGGCTATTAATGTAGTCTCTCCACTGTTGCTTAGTTTGCCAGTTGGTGTTATCCTTGTAGATCTCTGGAGATCTCACAAGTGTCAGCTATCTCCTCAAGCCTATAATGACTCAGTCTATTATGGTATCTCTCATCCTGCTCTCCTCTATTCTTAGCTCAACTCAACCTTCCTGCTCCCCCATACCTTCTTCTCCCCTCCTCTTATCCCCCTCTCTTTTTCCTGGTTCACTCTCCCCTCCCCAGATGTTCCCAATCTGCTCAGGAGATCTTGACTCATTCTACTTCTCTGGAGTATCACGCATCTCTCTTGGGAGCCTCCCTGTTTCCCAGACTCACTGGCACTGGGATTGTAGGCTGAGACTCCCCTGATCCATATCTAAAATCTATATATGAGTGAGTACATACCATGTTTGTCTTTTTGTGTCTGGGTGACCTCACTCAGGATGGTTTCCTCTAGTGCAATCCATTTACCTGCAAATTTCAAGATTCCATTGTCTTTTTCCGCTGAGTAGTACTCCATTGTGTAAATGTACCACATTTTCTCCATCCACTCTTCAGTTGTGGGGCATCTAGGTTGCTTCCAGGATCTAGCTATTACATATAATGCTTCTATGAACATAGGGGAACGGACATCCTTGTTGTGTGAATCGGCGTCTTTTGGGTATATGCCTAAGAGTGGAATTGCTGGGTCTTGTGGTAGACTGAGTCCCATTTTCCTGAGGAATCTCCATACTGGGAAATCTCACTTTTAAAAGGCAAAACAAGAAGTGAGGCAGTTACTTGGTGGAGTGGAATATGGGAAAAATGGTCAAACTGGGAGGGGGAAAATTCATTTCTTCATCTTACCCTAGAGAGAAATACTGGAGCTTTGAAAAGCTAAAGGCAAATCATAGATCGGAAGAAGGTGAAATACAATGAGCTCATGTAGGAACATTCTGGTCAGAGCAAGGTTTGTGATTCCAAAAGCAAAGACAACACATTGGGAAGGATAATGCTCTCATTTTCTTCATACTTCAAGCGGCAAGCCAAGACATGCTAGCAGGTCAATAGCCTAGACGACAACACAGGGCCCTACTACCTCCTGCATAAAGTTCCCAGCTGGGCCTGACCCTTGCATGTAAATGGTCCAAGGAACTGAGACTTAGAACATCTTTAGGGGTTTTCTTTTATTTCATTTGGAATAGCCAACTCAATCTTGTCTTCTTTTGGTAACGTTTTACTATAACCTCCTTTGTAGTCCTTTATAGACTATGACTTAAGAAATCCAAGTAGGGCCGGGTGGTGGTGGCACACGCCTTTGACCCCAGCACTCAGGAGGCAGAGGCAGGTGAACCTCTGTGAGTTCAGAACTATTACACAGAGAATCCCTGTCTCTGGGAAAAAAAGAAAGAAATCCAGGTAGGGGAAAGAGACAGAAGCACCCGGGGCCACAGCCAGTCAGAATGGGACTGGCATGACAAAAGTCATTTAATTCCTGACTATGCAGTTCCCTTTCCACTTCCCCTCTCCTCCTGTTCTCTTCTCTGTCCCTCTTTCCCTTTTTGTCACTCTTCTCCCCTCCTTCCTCCCTTCTACTCCCCCCCATCTCTTCTCATACACAGTGTTGTCACTGTGCTGGCTTAGTAATATCCAAAGCATTCTTATTGTCCTCCTTTGCAAGTTAATCTTAGTTATCTAAGGTATTTTTGGAGAGACGAGCATCATTTTGTTTGATGCTTTGCCCTTAACAGATATCATTCTCATAGAAGACAATATGGTAGAGTCAGGCCTGGATTCAAATTCCAATTCTGTCACATAACAAGGAGTTCATGTTTAATCTCCTTCATAAGGTGTTGGAGAGAGTCAGATAATATCATGCAAAACCTTGTATACAGGATGTATTTGATTTTTGCAAATATGCTTTTGCACAGAAGCCAAGAATCACTTGAACTGTAGCTAGAAAAATCAGAGCTCTATTTCAAAGGTGAGTTGTACAGCATCTTTGATTTAGCTCCTGAATCCAAACAATGGGGTAACTGAGGAAAAAAATCCCGACCTCTCAGAGAAACTGAGTAATCTAGAAAGAAATGCTGGTAGCCTGGAAGGTGTTGCCTCATGTCTGTGTGAACATCTCTCTTCTTCTTCTAGCAAAGGACAGTCTACAAAACCAAGGGCCAACTTCTATTGGCATCTGAGAGGGAAAAGAGTAATGCTACTTTTAGATTTCAAACATATAGGACAAGGAATAAGGACTCAACAAAGATATCAGACAGCAGTGTGGGAAAAGGCAGATTTTCTTCCAGTATAGTGAGGTGCATTTATTATTCTGGTTCTGACCTTCAAGCTATGAATGGAAGTGGCAATAATAGTTCAAGGCATCAGAGACTAAAGCATCTGCTGAACTCAAAGTATAAACACTCAAGTGAGAAAGCTTTATTGAAACACACATGCATGTTGGGGAGGAATGCCAAAGAACAAGTATAAGCCAGGACTCTTGAGTTAGGCTTCCATTACAGTATCAATCCATGTTGAAGGGATCTTTGAAAAACATTCTATCCAATTGACACATATGATCTTAACTACCCCAGCTGCCTGTAATCCAGGGACCTTACAGGAAAAGTCAATTCACAGCTGACTTCATTAACAGGCATTTCTTCTCTGGCACAGACACCTTCCACACACACCTCTGTATAGATAGACCACTATGAATGAAAAGTCCAGTTTAGAATAGTGAGTAGCAGAAAATGAAAGCTTGTTAGATCTCTCTTTTAAGTCTCAACACACTATTCCCCTGTTACCCGTAGGTCAAATT